TGGGTGGCTTGGGAGGAGGTGGTAATAATGAAACCAAGAAGAGCTGAGCAGGGCTAGAAGGGACTGAGAGAAGTCACAACTCACCATTGCCTCGCCAGGGCCGGATGGGAGTGATCTGGAGGGCCCACAGGTTTGAAGGAGGGATTTAAGATGGTGGCTTTGTGAGTTACACCGAGATATTGGGAGCAGAAGGGGAGACTGCACATAAGTGCTTGAGGGAAAAGTAGACCTTGGGACATGACTAAAAATGATGCTCCACCATGGGCCTGCTCTACCTACGGGCAGGAAGTACTAGCAGACAAAGTGCAAGAATGCACTGGACAGAGTCCAAGCGGTCACAGAGCCATACCACAGACCCCATCAGAGTCAAATCTGAATGAAGGTGCTACTGTCAGCTGTGTATCCCTTTTCTCTCTCCCTTTTGGCCGCGGGTGTACATCACTTGTGCCAGCAGCAGAGGGGCTCGTGGTGGTAAATTCCTGCATGGTCGGTTTCTTGCAGGTGGCCCAATAGAGAGTAAGAGCCTGATGAAGGATTCCTATACCCCAGATGTGATTCAAAGGGCAGTCAGAGACCCCAAGCACTGGCATGGAAGGAAAACCGATGACCTAGGTAAGGCTTCGGTCATGAGCAAGCAACTGATGCACTTCAGAGCTGGGCACGGACTCAGAAAGGGAGGTGATGGGTTAGAGATGGACATTATCACAGGAGAAGAGCCATTGAGCTAGGGCAGAGCACTGCCACGGGCAGGTGGAAATCATTAAGGGTGGTTCTTACCCACAGGGAGAGCGGTATCATTAGGAGTGAAGCAGCGATTGAACTGTGGTTTGTCTTCTTTATAGGACGATGGCACCAGAAAAATGCCCTAAACCTTAACCTGCAAAAAGCTTTGGAGCAGAAATATGGAGAGAAGACCAAAGGTACCAAATCCTAGAAGGCAAAAGACAGAGAAGCCAAGCGCTCTCCGAAAGGGACCCTGCTCTCCCTAGCGCTAGAATAAACCTCCGTGCAGCCTCGATCGGTGTGCTTGCTGAGCATCAGCAATACGAGTGGCAGGAAGAGACCTGGGCAATCAGCCGGCAGAAACACAATGGCAAAGCCTCTTATCCCAGGAAAAGGGAGGGAGAGTCTTTGGGGGCAGCAGTGTGTGAGAGGACTGAATGGCCATGGAAACAGTTCTCATGGAATCCCTGCAGGGGGAGACTGGGGATGGGGGAGGGCACTGGGGGGAGCAGTGTGGGGGTGCAGAGAGGAAGCCCAGGACTGAAGGAACAAGAAGACTGACTATCCAGCAGACTGGGGACAGCGTTTAGGAAATAGCAGGGCTGGAATGTGTGTGTGCGTGCATGTGTGTGGAGGGAGGATGCCCATGACTGAATGACCATGGATGGCACTTTGATGGCTGCCAGCCCCTTTTCCGTCTCTCCCCTGGATTCTGTACACAGTTCTCCGGCACAGCTGGAAGCACAGTGGGGGCTTGGTGAGATATACAAACCAGGCAGAAAGCCGTCAGTCTGTGGGCCCTTTCTGTGGGAACACACTCTCGCAGGTGTTTTTAGGGGGCCAGTCACTCTCAGTACAGCATCCAGGTGCAACTCTTGTCCCTGTCAGGGGCTGAGACTGTGAGGCAGGAGGCAATTTCCTTCCCTCTCATAATTCTGGTTGTGTTGCTTTAAGGCGGCTAGACTGAGACTCGCTTGGAGCGCTCCTGCATGGCCAGCGACCTACAGTGACTGTGGGAAAACCTGCCAACACTCACCTCAGCACTGGAGGGTGCAGGTCACCCAGCCAAACCCAGGAGCTCCAAAACCCAAACCAATGCCAAAAAGCCCATCCCACCAAAAGGGAGCCAGAAGGCTGCAGAGGGACCCCTGGGGGCCCCTGGAATTCGCCATGCTGCTAGGTCACCCCAGAGTGAGAAGGATCATTTTGGGGTCTTTTATGACAAGCTGTTCCTACTTGTCCAAGCCCTGTCTCCCACCATCCCCTATAACAACGTCTCTCTGTGGGCAGGAAGGTGCCAGCATTGCATGGTGCTCTGATGTCCAGGTCCACCCGCAGATAGTAAATCCAAATGGGAATTAATCCCTCAGAAGGGAGGAGATGAACCGTGGCAGGCAAGGGGGTGTCACGCAGTAACACTGTCTGCTGGTTGGGGGTGCCATGGTGGTTTAAGATCTGCTCACAGCTGTTCTGTCTGACACGGTTCCTCAGAGAACCCAGGGGCTTCTAGTGTTTGTTCCTTCCTGCCGGCTCTACACAGATCACCTACTTGCCAAAGTTTGCAAGGGGAGAGGGGCCCTCTCTTTCCCCAGCCACAGGTGCTGGAACTAGGGATGCTGGGGGTGCTGCCACACCCCCTGGCTTCAAGTGATTTCCATCAGATAGAAGGTTTACAGTTTGGTTCAGTGGCTCTGAGCACCCCCCACTATGCAAATTGTTCCAGCACCTCTGGGCCCAGCCACACCTCCAGGCTTGGAACTGCTGATTATTTTGCCGCAGATGTGAACTGATTCTGGGCACAAATTAGGGCTGTTTCCCCACTATCTGTCAGTGGGATTAGGTCAGAGCATGCTGACTGCAGTGGAATGCCAGAGGTTTGCAAATAGATGAGGTTAAAATGTAACCAGCGGTAACTATGGGAGGATTATCTCCCACTCTCAATCATTAACCGTGACAGGTTCTGCTGTTCCAAGGTACATGGTGTGGGGGAGAAAGAATTGCTCACTGACTAAAAATGGGGGCCAAAATGCAGGTCACAGAGATCTCCTACTGGGCTTCCTCATGCTTCAGCACAGAGTGCACAGGCCTCAGCATGCTATCTCCAGCCAAGTAGCAAAGCACCCTAGGACATCACCACTCTGCACACTGCATGCCTGGGCTGATGCAGAAGGAGGCTACATGTCCAATTAAGTGCAGCCCTCAAGGCACCCAGCAAGTTAGTGGTGGAGCCTATGCTGCTGCTTCAGCATTCTGACCGTAAAACCTCAGCGTCTAATCCTGCCACTCGTGAGCCTTAGAATAGCACATTGGGTACAGCGCCACACAACATGAGCAAGCGTGGCAAAAACAGAATCTCAGACAAGCATCCCCCCTGATCAGAACGGAGTCTGCGGCCAGCCGAGGACGCTGCCCTGTGCTTTATGCAAACAGAGGCAGTGCATTTCTGTTTGCTCGAGACCATGAGTTTTGGATAATAAACCAATTTCTCCTGTGCAGCTTACAGGAAATTGCTCACACCTGAGAGCCAGGTAGCGAGTCAGTGAGAATGGCTGATAATTATTTATTCATATAAATAAGGAAAGGGTCCAATGATTAGTTATGCCCACCACTGGCCTATGTAACTGCTTGCTTATATTACTACCTGTATTGGCCTTATCCTTCCTCCAGTTAGTCTCACACTTGTAGAGTCTTGCCTTAAATGACATTGTAAGCACTTCAGAGCTGGGACTGCGTCACCCTGTGCATGTGTACAGTGCCTAGGCCAACAGGGCTCCCACAGGCCTACAGAGATTATCTGGGATAGAAAACAGGGCAGCTCAGGGACATAGCAAGTTGATACACATCCGGGCTGCTGGGTGCAGGGGCAGAGTTAATACACGGGGGTTTTATGGTTTCATTCTAATGCCTGCATAGACACATTAAAAAAACCACAGCACAGACTGGCAAACGTGGCCTTCTCCATTCATGAAAGGTTCAGGGCTGGATTAACAAGGCGTGTAACGAGTCAGGAACGAGTTGGGCTGGGAACGCTTGGTCAGCCTGGGACAGTGCTGCCGGCCCCTTGCTTTCAAGAGCAATGAATTCACTATTCACATATCTTAAAGTTTAAAAATGAATGAGTTTATCAGAATTTAAATTATCCAAAAGAAGAATTACACTGAACAATGCAGGCCTGGCAGCATCCAAACAACATAGCAGGAAAACCTGAAACAAACTCCCAGAACTGCCCTTTTCTCCCTGTAGCGGATTGAGACTCGCTGCAGCAGCGCCTCCTACTGGTCATCTGGGAATTAGCTCTTTTCCAGCATACAGCGTGCCCTCTGTAGGCCAGTGTCTTGCCTGCAGCTGTCCCCGTGTCCCTCCTAGACCCCAGTGCCCTTTACCTCAGGGTTCTGCCCCAGCAGTACTCCCACACTCTGGGTCTCCCCTCCCCAGGGGAACCCCCAACCCTCAAAGCCCACCTTGCCTCAGTGGCTACTGCCAGCCATCATCTAGCCCCCGCTCACTGGGGCAAACTGCAGTCTGTAATGGCCACTCTTCAAGGGGTTAGGACCAGCTGCCTCGGCCTATTCCCAGGCTGCACCTCTGTAGCCCCAGTATCTTTCTAGGCCTTCACCAAGGCCTGCAGCCTGGGGCTTTACTAAGCTGGAGCTCCCTTTGCCCTTCCCCAGCACTGCTCCACTTCCAGGTACCTTGCTCCCAGGCAGCTAGCCCTTCCCACTCCAAGACTAGAGTGAGACTCCTCTGTAGCTCCTGGCCTCCTGTCCTCTTATCAGGGCCAGCTGTGGCCTGATTAAGCCTGCCACACCTGGGGCCAACTACCTCACCAGCCTCCCTCAGCTGCTCTTAATCCCTTTTACTTTGGAGTGGGGCAGCTGCCCCATTACACTCCCCTTATCAGCCATGTCACACAAATACACAAAAGTCAGACTCAAACATCCTACCTGGTAGGTGACACATCCAACTCAATCAGTAACAGAGCTGACCCATGGATTGAGAGAGATGATTTTGCTAGATCTGATCACTGGGTGGCAGCTCTGAGCCAATGTTTTTCCCTTGCAGAAATGAACAGGAAAGAACTGAGTTCTCTTTCCCTGGCACCGTTAACACTCACCAAAGCAGCTAGCTAGCTGCTACCGTCTTCTACAAACAGCCAGTGTACTGGGAATCCAGCATGTCATAGTATTTGAGCAATTAGAGATAGAAGAGATCCATTAGACCATAGTTTGTCCACCCCCACAACCTTTCCCCTGCCCCAACTCCAGTTTTCCCTGCAATAATATATATCCTCCCTGTCTTTGTCCAGTCTGGTTTTGTGTGTCCTGGTGATGGGGCTTCCACCACCTCCCTAGAGACATTATTCTGCAGGACAGAGTCACAGGTAGGAAAGGTTTCTTCAGCTGCAGCCAAGTTTCCCCATTGCTGTTTCACCCCTTTACTCCGACCCACATTGTCCCATCCTTAACAATTCCAATCCCTCCTTGGTATCTACATCCTTCCAACACCAATTCTTCTGGATGAGTATTATCTCTCTAAATAACCTAGATCTGTTTTCAGAATGCGAGGCATTTCATTCCAGGTGCTTGCACCAGAATCTTATCCATGACATGACATTTGATCATTCATGCCGTGAAGTTTGTGTTGAACTCAACATTACATTGCAGCAGAAGCATGGCAAGACTTACATGATAATGGCAGGAGGACTAGAGCTCCGTGTAATGAGCAGATCTCTCCAATGGGGATAGGTTTCCTGGTTTCTCTAGCCAAGTACACTGATACAGCTGAGGAGGACATGTGCTGATTGACATCTGCCACCCACTTTGGAAGAAGGAGGGCTGGAAAGAAGAATTGCCCTTTGTGTTTTTCCTGCCTGGGTTCGGGAGGGGAAACAGTGATGACAAGAAGAGGCAACATGCTTCGAGTGGGGGACTTTTCATCCATTCACCTCTCTTGCCCTCACCAGTCCTCTCACAGCGCTAGCACAGTTCCTTGGCCCTGACAGCTGGTTCCTGTCCTGCCCACGGAGGCAACACAAAGTAATCGTCACACTTCAGGGTTTTGAAGAGCTGAATGGCCTGCATGTGAAGTGCAGGCTCTCGCTTGCCATTGACAGATCCTCCATCACAGGGCGGCTTTCCAAATGCCTGTCTGGCTTCTGATGTCTGATCAGCCAGGGGGTCTTTCTCACCCACGGGGGTCTTCTCACCAGGTTTGAGGCCAGGAAAGAAGCAGTATTCCCCCACCTGACGTAGAAAAACTGGCCCGGTGCCGTCGGGGTTGAACATGACCACATTGTCCTCTTGCCCAGACTCTGCTTTAGCAAAATCAACCCCCTCTGAGAGGATGGGTGGGGAAAAACTGATGGGTTCTGGGGTACCATAGAGTGCCTTGGGGAACATAACATAGCTCTCAAATCCAGAGAGATTGGCTGATGCTGGAAACGGAACTGGGACTGTGACACCAGGTTTTTCAGGGCCCAACTCAGGGCTAGAGGTGCCCTCCGTGGCATGGGGCAGTTGTGGGTTGGATGACAACATGGCAGCAGCAGTGAGCATTCTCTCCGGCGGGGCCAGTGCAGGGGACAGATGGGCAGAATCTCTTGCTGACATCAGTGACAGATCTTCCGTGGTGACGTATCCCACTGGCCACTTCTGACAGGAGTTGTTTAAGATGGCAGCAATCTGTGACTTTTGACCTTCGGTGTCCCCTTGTGCCACTTCCTCACCTGCTGGTTGGCCTTGTGACCCTTCTTGCCTTCCAGCAAGGGGCTGCTTCATCTCTTTCTGAGCAGGAAGTGAGACGGGGTGGAGCTGAGCTGCTTCTCTCTCCTCCCCCACCAGCAGGGTCTGGGAAGAGGCCCCCTGGGGTAGGGACACATACTCCAGGGACGCTAGCCTCCCCCTGGTTCCCAGTGGGGCAGTTTCCCGGTCCTGATGAATGTCAGGCAGAGAGCACCCATGGGGGAGGTTCAAGTATGGACCATTAAAGTCAAAGCAGGACATGGGTGCCTGAGAAGCAGTGACCTTAGCACTGCTCCTCCAGGGGAGCGTGGCTGGTGACAGGGACTGATTGGTGCCCTGACTTGAATGGCAGCCAGCCGGGGCTGCAGGATGTGGAGCTGGAGTTGTCATTTCAAGAGTCTGATACGGGTTCTCTGGGTCCGGTGCACCAAGGAAGCACATCCTCCTATCGGCCACGGCTGCAGGGAGCTCTGCTGAACTAACTTTCATCGGTCTGCAAGGGGGAAACAAGAGGAATCAGAGATGTCACCCTGCAGAGAACATCACATACAGACAGGGAGTGGAGCTGAGGGCCCCCTGGGAGAAAGGTCTTCTGGGGGTTAGAAAGAATCTTTCCCTTGGGGCAGATTATCGCATAACTGCCTATGGCAGAGTTTCTTGTGCTTTCCTCTGAAGCAGCTGGCACCGGCATCTGTTCCTGGCAAGATACTGGACTAGATGGACCATTGGCTGGACCCAGTCTGGCAGTTTCTGTGTTTCTTGAGTCTAAGGGGCCCAAGCAGCACATCACCCTACAGAGACTGTGATCACCACCACCCACATTATATAGCACCAGACCTTTGCCTGGCACTTGGCAGAGTTTATAAAAAGACATGGCCCCTGCCCCAAGGAGCTTACAGCCACTGAGGTAGAAGCTAGCGAAAGGGAGGGGTCAGGCAAGGAGAGATGGGGGTTCAAACAAATACAAATAATGGCCTGCGCTTTCCAAAAGTGACCAGTGATGGCTGGGCACCCGCCCATGGGCGGCGGGTATCAAAGACCAGGGGAGATTAAGCCTACCCTAACCCAGGCTGTGGCCTCGCCCATGCTCCACCCTGAGGCCGTGCCCTCGCTCCCCCCTGAAGCTGGCAGGGGCTCAGCTCCTTCCGGTGGCCTGGAGCTCGGGGCTTGCGCTGGCAGCCAGGGGCTAGGGTGGCCAGGGACGGCTCAAGGAGGGTGAAGAGCTCTTGCCCCCAGCCTGGAAGGGGAGAGGATACCTGGCTGCAGCCCTCTAAGCCCTGGGAGAAGGAGTACAGCTATAAGTGTCTCCAAGTTGGGTCTCAGGCTATTCTAACTGAATACAGCCTTCCTCAGGCTACTCTTCTTAACCCAGAATCCCTCACAGCATAGAGCATGATGGGTACCCTGCCTCAGCACAACCTCCCTACACCAGGAGCTGTGAGGAGGGCAGTCTTGGTCTTCTTACATTGGCCCCACACTTCTGCATTGGATGAATTATCCTCTGGCCTATTGCAGCTCCTACTGGCTCTTGTATGCTGCCAGACCCAGAATTGGCCCCAAGAGTGGTGAGGACCTCACTTCCAGATGACAGGGAGTTACGGCATGTGGGGGAGGGGGCGTGTGTGTATCTGTGTGCTGGGGGTGCTTATCCACCTCCATTTTCTGATTGGGAAATCAAGGGCATTGAGGCAAGCCCATTTCCAGAAGGAGAGATGAGGGAGGAAGGGCTCAGGGTTTGGGACTGGTGTTTCCAGGGAGCCAGGGAGACCAGGGGCTGCAAGTCCATCCATTGACATTTCCAGATGTGCATGTGGAGGATGTGCCAAGGTTTATCATTCACACCAGTTACATTTGCCACCCCTCCCTGATGGGATCAGCCACCCACAGGAACTGAGATGCCACCATCTCCAAGTAACGTCTCGGAGAGTATCACCAGTGAGCAGTGCACCGACCACTCACCCATCCAGCACTTGGATGCAGCTGGCCACATCCATCTTTTCGGAAGGGCCCTGCTTGCCAAAGTCCAGCTGGCTGCTTGGCAATGAAATCCCGAGCGGTATTTTCTGAAAAGAGACAAGGGCAGATAGCATTCCTGGCACACAGAGATTGATTCCCTGAGGGCAGAGGGGAGCCAGAAGCCGCATAGTGGAGATACCACAGTGTGTGGTAGCACTTTAACCCCTCCTGGGGGCAACATTGCTCTTGGGGAGTGGCGGTTTGATGGGGGAAGTAGGTCTGGAGGCCCCTTGCTGGAAGCCTCATGGCCCTGCCTCACCCCCCCGCCCCAAAAAAGAGCAGAGGAGAAGTCCTCCGGGCAGTCTAGAGTGGCTGCAGGGGAGCAGCTAATCGGAGGGGCTGCTGGAGTGACCAATCGGGGGCAGAAGGGCCATATAAAAGGAAGCAGCAGGGGCATAGCAGTCAGTTGCTGCCGGGAGCTTGAAGAGGGAGAAGTGGGTGCATGGCTGGCAGGAATAGGGTGACCAGACAGCAAGTGTGAGAAATTGGGACGGGGTGGGGGGTAATAGGAGCATATATAAGAAAAAGACCCCAAAATTGGGACTGTCCCTATAAAATCGGGACATCTGGTCACCCTAGGCAGGAAGAGCAGCAGGACCATGGGCAGCTCAGTGCGGGCAGACTGAGCCCAGAACCTAGCCAGACCCAGCGAGGGTATCATGATGGGCCCTGCTGGTCTGGTTGAAGATTAAGGCCAGGGAGAGCTGCCAAAAAGACATTAACCAAGGGTATCGAGATGGGCCCCTTTTGGGCTGTTAAAGAAGGCAATGCCACTGGGGGGAAGCCTTGGTTCTACAGCCCCATACCAGGGCCATGAGCAAGAACTAGAGACTGTATACCCCCGAAGTGTTGACAGTGCGTGTGACTCGGCCGAGGGCAGGGGGTGCTCGTGAGAGGCAGGTACCACACCATTGTAAGAACTGAAAAGAAAGCAGGGTCACACCCAACCAGGAAGGGGGCACCCGCGATAGATGGGTGCTGCCCTGTTCAAAACTGAATAATTACCATCATGTATCAGCCAGAGAGGGGGCGCTCACAAGCATAAGGTAAAACACAGTGACAAAAATACTGCTATCTCCTGGGCTTCTCTGATGCACCGATGGGCAGTGTCCTCAGACAATGTAATGGGGTATTTACCCTACAGTTGCTGTGAAAGGGTAAAGGCTTGAGAGGCCAATTAACCTGCCTGCTTGAACCTGAAGGATGGGCCAGGCCTAATTAGAAATAAAGCCCAGGTGGGGAAGAGAAGGGCTTGTGGCCATAAAGAGCTGAGTGAGGCTAGTGGGAGGAAGGAGACCCAGGGGAGAGGAGGTGGGAAGTAGCCTGAGAGGGAGGAGGCAGAGCAGAGAGGCTACTCCAGGGGTGAGTGGGAAGCCTGACAGGAGACAGGGGCCCTGAAAAGCACTAACCTGCCTGAGCCCCTGAGCGAGGGAAGGAGCGTGCCAGCCCCTGGACAGCGGCGCTATTGAAAGCACAGGACCTGGAGACAAGCTGTGGGGATAAGCTGTAGTGGAGGCAGGCCTGTGAGGCCGAGGTGGCCAGTTGAGCCCAGCCAGGCTGAGGGTTTTGTTTTGTTTACAGTTCTATTGGACTTGGTAAAGAACTCGGTTGGCCAGAAGGGGCAGGACTCTGTCAAGTCATCTGACCAGAGGGCCGGGATACTCTTACAGCTGGAGTAGGCCAAAGTGTAGTAGGGGAAAGCTCAGTTCTCTCTTACCTGGAGGTAGCTCTGGAGCAGCTGACTCCTGCCAGGATTTGGAATCTTTTCCTCCCATTTTTTCTTCTTGCTGTAATAAGACAGAGTTTGCAGGGTCACTTCTCTTGTGGGGAGGCTACACCTGACACACAGCCTTACCCTGGGCCCCCTTGTCAACACAGAGGTCCTGAAACTCCATGGCCCTACACTCAAACTGCTGTCTGACATGGAGAGAGCTCTGCACTGCACCCCAGGCATATCTCGAGCTCAACTAAGCCCTAGATCAAGGATAGGGGTGTACCCATGCAGCACCTCCCTGCACTCACTCTACCAATGTGTCTGGCATATCTCCAACTCCCAGTGCAGACTTACCTGAGTAGGCATCTATAACCACACCAGCCAAAGGCTATCAGCATGATGATGAAGACTGGGACCAGCAATGGGAGAATCAGTTGTGACCCAGCTGAGGCAGCTAAATGAGAGAGAGAGAGAGAGAGAGAGAAAGAGACAGCAACAGAAAATAGCTTCATTCTATATCAAACCTTACATTCTGGATGCTCTTGAGGGATGATATTGAGGTCAGGAAAATGTAGGTTGCCTATCAAGTCACGTGTCCTAACTGACAGGTCTGTTAAACCATGGAATACTCACCCAGTTCTAAAGGGGATATGATCCTCAAGCCCCTGTTCTCCCCAGTCTCATGTTAGGGCTATTTAAAAAAAAACCTAAAGAAATTCCCAGAGCAAAGAACTTTGTTAAAGTGAAGTTCAGGCTGAGGGCTTGTCTATACTCTTGGCTAAATCAGCATTGTTGCGATCAATGTAGAGGTGTAGATTTAGTGAGTCTGGTAAAGATCTGCTAAGTTGATGGGAAAGCATTCTCCCGTCGACATCTATACGCCGCCTTCCTGAGAGGCGGACGGTAAGTCAGCTGGAGAGCGTCTCTTGTCGACACAGCATGGGGATCTGGGGGTCATAGTGGACCACAAGCTAAATGTGAGTGAACAGTGTAACAGTGTTGCAAAAAAAAAAAAAGCAAACATCATTCTGGGATGTATTAGCAGGAGTGTTATAAGCAAGACTAGAGACGTAATTCTTCTGCTCTACTCCGCATTTCAGGAAAGACGTGAACAAATTGGAGAAAGTCCAGAGAAGAGCAACAAAAATGATTAATGGTCTAGAAAACATGCTATGAGGGAATACTGAAAAAATTGGGTTTGTTTAGTCTGGAAAAGAGAAGACTGAGAGGGGACATGAAAACAGTTTTCAAGTACATAAAAGGTTGTTACACGGAGGCGGGAGAAGAATTATTCTTCTTAACCTCTGAGGATAGGACAAGAAGCAATGGGCTTTAATTGCAGGAAGGGCGGTTTAGGTTGGACATTAGGAAAAACTTCCTGTCAGGTTAGGAAGCACAGGTTAAGCACTAGAATAAATTGCCAAGGGAGATTGTGGAATCTCCATCATTGGAGATATTTAAGAGCACGTTAGACAAACACCTGTCAGGAATGGTCTAGATAATACTTAGTCCTGCCATGAGTGCAGGGGACTGGAACAGATGATCTCTTGAGGTCTCTTCCAGTCCTATAATTCTATGGCGTAGACACTCCTGTAAGCTGACCTAAGTTTCATCAATTTCAGTTACGTAATTTACATAATTTATGTAACTGAAGTAATGTAACTAAGGTCGACTTACAGTTTTAGTGTAGACCAACCCTCTGAGAACAGATCAGTATTGGCAGATTTTCTTGCCTCAGAGATTCACCATGTGGGTTGGGGAGCAGCCCAGAGACCTTCCCCTCTGGGAGAACCCACAGTCCAGGTCAATTGGGAAGTTTGGGGGGAACCCGGGCCCGCCGTCTACTCCGGGTTCCAGCCCAGGGCCCTGTGGACTGCAGCTGTCTATAGTGCCTCCTGTAACAGCTGCATGACAGCTACAACTCCCTGGGCTACTTCCCCATGGCCTCCTCCAAACACCTTCCTTATTCTCACCACAGGACCTTCCTCCTGGTGTCTGATAACGCTTGTGCTCCTCAGTCCTCCAGCAGCACACCCTCTCACTCTCAGCTCCTCACACTCCCACTACAAACTGAAGTGAGCTCCTTTTTAAAACCCAGGTGCCCTAATTAGCCTGCCTTAATTGATTCTAGCAGCTTCTTCTTAATTGGCTCCAGGTGTCCTAATTAGCCTGCCTGCCTTAACTGGTTCTAGCAGGTTCCTGATTACTCTAGTGCAGCCCCTGCTCTGGTCACTCAGGGAACAGAAAACTACTCATCCAGTGACCAGTATATTTGCCCTCTACCAGACTCCTGTACCCCACTGGTCTGGGTCTGTCACAATATCACTAATGCATATGAAGTTATTATAATTGTGTAATATGGTTGTCACTAAACCATGCTATAAATTAGGAGAATCAGCCAGATATTAGCTCCCCAGAGGCAACAGCAAGGAAAGTAACCAGCGCCCGGGCAGGGTGTCAAACAACCCATCAACAGCCATTATCCAGCAAGGGAGCTACAATGCAGTGACTCACCTGCATGAGGCCACACCAGGGGAATTGCTCAACCTTGGTTGGAGAGATTCAGTAATGCTCACCTGACTCTGAAGGGGGGTGCAGGGGGCAAAGCCAAGAGAGGAGAAAGGACATGATAAAAGAGAGAGACATTTGGCATGCTCTTCCTCTCTCTTCCACCTACATCTACAGACACCACATCAAGCAACTGAAGCGCTGATCAAAGGGGAGAGCCTGGCTGAAGAGCAACCAGCCAGCCTGTGGTGAGAAGCATCTAAGTTTCTAAGTACATTGAAAGTGTTAAGATCAGCTTAGAATGCATTTCGCTTTTATTTCATTTGACCAAATCTGACTTGTTATGCTTTGACTTATAATTATTTAAAATTTATCTTTGTAGTTAATAAATCTGTTTGTTTATTCTACCTGAAGCAGTGTGTGTGGTTTGAACCATGTCAGAGTCTCCCCTTGGGAAAACAAGCCTGGTACATATCAATTTCTTTGTTAAATTGACAAACTCATATAAGCTTGCAGCATCCAGCAGGCATAACTGGACACTGCAAGATGGAGGTTCCTAGGGTTGTGTCTGGGACCGGAGATATTGACTAGTGTCTTTTGGTTGCAAGTAGCTGGGAGCAGCTTACATGCCAGAGGCTGTGTGTGAACAGCCCAGGATTGGGGGTTCTCACAGCAGAGCAGGGTAAGGCTGGCTCCCAGAGTCAAGGATTGGAGTGACCTAGCAGATCACCAGTCCATATAACACCAGAGGGGAATGTCACACCTCCCTAATTTTCCTGGGAATCATGGAACTAAATCCGCTGTACGACACTCGGACAATGTAGGCAGTTCATGCTTCTAATCTTCCTTGTGGAGGCCCCCTTCCCTCCTCACCTAGTGCATCCACTTCCAGCCCCTGATTTTCATATAGTTTTCTTGCTCCCATGGAGAATGGCAGCCCTGGGATCCCATTCAGATAAGCCAATTATACTCCTTCTCTGTGATCTGAAGCATGCAGCCAGGTACCAAGGGGACCCTGGTCAGGCTCTTTGCTTAAGTAAGTGTATGAAACCTCAGTTTCCCTGAAACTCCAGCCACGGGACCCGTTTCTCTAGGGAGGGAACTGACCCCCTCCCCCAAAGCCCCAAGCCAGTAGCCCAGCTGGGATGTACCACTCTCAGTTTCCCAGGTGCAGTCCTCACTCCACTCGCTCCAGGGCCCCGTGTAGGTATCCGAGTGCACCCTCGCCCGCATTTTTCCCCTATAGTGTGTGGAGGGCTCCAGCATCTGCAGGGTGATGATGAAGGGAGGCTTGTCATTGCTGATGTTTACAATCTGGGCATTCTGTGAAGAGAAGAGGAGAAGAGATGGAGGAGGGGTGAGGAACTCTCTGTCCCATCCACCCACCTCCCTGGCAGAGTCCTGGGCTCCCAGCAGTACCATCACCTACCTCCAAGGAGTCACCAGTCTTCCAATACAAGAATTCATATCTCTGGCCTATATGGTCATAGCTTAGGATCTGTTTTGTCCATCTCAGCTCATACTCCTGATCTTTCATCTTTGTCATTGTCACGTTGATAGGCGCAAGCGGCTTGACTGGAACACAAACAACATGTTAGGAACATGCATCCATCTCCCAGCTTATCTTCCTGCCCATTCCCTTTCCCACTCTGGGTTGTGGGCAGGACTAAGGATATGCGGGTGCGAAGCTTGTTGCCTGAGCAGACTAGCACCAAGGACTGCTAATAGTGGTGCCCCCATCTGACACATCTCATCTCCACACACCCATTCTGTACCTCCTTGCAGCAGTGCTCTGTCGGTGCCAGTCAGGAGCTCCAGTGCTGGGAGCTTCCTTTACCAGCCCTCTGTCCCACCCACACATCACTGTCTAGCTCTTTTGTTAACCATTCCACCTCTGCCAACCCAAGCATTTCCTAAGCTGGAGGAGAAACCTCCAGATAACCCTGGGCAGAGGATCCAAATGGGCTCTCACTGTTTTGGTAGGCTTGAATCAGTTTCTCCTCCTTCTTGGGCCGGACAGTTATGAGGTACTGGCTCAGCCTGCTGGGGTTGGTGACATTGATCTCACAGCTGTGGAGCAGGTAGTGGCTGCCAGGCAATTCCTTCTCATGGACTGGAGAGCATTCTGTCTCTCTGGGGAAGAGAGCAGCCAGGCCTGAGTGAGCAGGAAGGATAGTCAGATACAGGAGGACAGGCATACGTTGCCATGGGCAGGTCACTTACTCTGATGTCGGTGGGGTTCTGTAGAAGAGCGTGAACAAGACAGAGCTGGTGACCTCTCTCCTCACTTCCCAGCTGCACATTAGCCGATCAACCCCATTGAAGCGGCAGCGAAGGTTCTTGGGCTGAGCCTCATCCCCTAGTGAGGAGCCAGTGGTTAGTGTAGCTCTGGGAGGGGCAGGGTTGGGAGGGATGGGGAGGACAGTGGAGCGGGGACTGATTGTAACATTGAGGGAAGAAGGGAATACTTTTAGACCTGGTCTACACTACAGAGTTAGGTTGATGTAAGGCAGCTTACGTTGACCTAACTAAGTAAATGTCTACACTAAAATTTCATTCCTGCTGATTTAAAGCACCTGCTATGCTGATTTAATAACTCCACCTCCATGAGCAGCATAGAATTTAGGTAGATGTAGTTAGGTCGAAGCATTGTCAGTGTAGACACTGCGTTACTTACATCAGCCATTAGTGGTCTTTAGGAGGTGTCCCACAATGCCCCATTTTGACCGCTCTGGTCATCATTTTGAACTCCATTGCTCAGCAGCCAGGTACACAGGAAGCCATCCCTCCTCTTTAAAGCTTTGTGAATTCTTGAAGTTCCATTTCCTGTTTGCCCGGCTTGGAGAGCTCACCTAGCAGCTCTAGAGCACGCCTAGCAACTGCCCTGCTGACCATGCTGGCTACATGCTACAGATGCGCTCCTGCCTGGAGTATACTGGGGATGGGGAGGGAGTTGGATCTCTTGGGTCTGTCAGGAGAAGAAACTGTGCAGGCACAGCTCTGAGCTAGACATAGAAATGTCAACATCTAGGAGAAGGTCACTTGGGGCATGGAGGAGAAGGGCTACAGGAGGGACCAGCAGCAGCACAGTGTGAAAGCCAAGGAGCTGTGGCAGGTGTATCAGAAGGCAAGGGAGGCTAACAATCACTCTGGTGTGTAGCCGCAGTCCTGCCATTTTTACAAAGAGCTGCATGCCATCCTCAGTGGAGACCCCACTACCACCCCCAAGAGTCCCGTGGATATTTCAGAGGAGCCCGAGTCACAGGCCCCTGCTATGAACAGTGAAGAGGAGGTGGAGGAAGAAGAGGAGGAGGAGAATGGAGAACAGGTGTCTGGGGGTTCCAGCCTCACAGTGAGTCAGGACCTGTTTTTGAGTCCTGTGCAGTCCAGCCAGTCCCTACAGTCCAGCAGAGGTGAGTCTGATGCAGGGGAAGGAACCTCTGGTAAGGCTGCAGTTTGCTTTGAAATTGTTGGGTTGGAACCCCCGAAGTAGCAGGACACATCTGTTGATTTACTCTTTTTTTACTTATGCTAGAAGAGGTAGTGAAATAACCAATAGAGGTAGTGTTGCTATCCGCTTCTCATCCCCCTCTAGAGTTAAGAAGAAGGGTCCCCACAGAACAGTTTGTTTATGTGCACTAGGATGTCCCAGGAATCCTCTATAATGATCTTGAGGTAATCTGCAATCCCCTGCTGAAAGTTTCTGGGGAGGGCTGCCTTATTTCTTCCACCACGGTAGGACATTTTCCCACACCACTCAACAGACATCTATTCTATCTCTGCCCTCCACCCTGGTGGAAACGTTCCCTCCTTTGCTTCACAGATATTATGCAGAACACAGCAGGCAGCTATAACCATTGGGATTTTTTTCATTGAGATCACTCACTTCTCCACTAGGGTGAGCAGATAGCAAGTGTGAAAAATTGGGATGGAGTGCAGAGTAACAGGTGCCTATATAAGACAAAGCCTTGAATATTGGTATTGTCCCTATAAAATCGGGACATCTGTTCACCCTATTCTCCACTGTCCATGCAGATCTCATTTTGGTGTCTCTGAGTTGGAGCGCTGGGGCGAGCTCTGTACATAGATCCAGGAATATGGCCTTGCACATCCGAAAGTTCTGCAGCCACTGCTCATCATCCCAAACCCGCATGACAATGTGATCCCACCAGTCAATGCTTGTTTCTCAGACCCAGAACCAGCTCTCCATCATCTGCAGCTGCTCCGTGAATGCCGTCAACAACTTTGAAGTGTTCCTTTCTATGTCCCACAGTAATCTAGCCTCCAAGGAATTATCATAGAAACCACAACTGTATTAAAAAGGCAAGAAGAAAAGCAACAGGACAGTCTGCAAAATATCTTCAATGTCTGTATACCAATGCAAGGAGTATGGGGAATAAGCAGGATGGACTGGAAGTCATGGTATATGAAGAAAATTATGACTTAATTGGCATTACAGAGACTTGGTAGGACACCTCTCATGATTAGAGGGATATAGTTTGTTCCAAAAGAAAAGGTATGGGTGGAAAAGGAGGCAGCATTGTGCTGTATATCAAGAATGTAGACACTTGCTCTGAGGTCCAAGAGGAAGTGAATGGCAAACATACTGAGAGTTTCTGGGCGAGGATAAAAATGGAAAAGCAGAGTAGCAATGTTATGGTGGGGGTCTATTATACAGCACCAAATCAAGAAGAGGAAGTGGATGAGGCATTCTACAAGCACGTAACAAGATTACCTAACACACATGAGCTAATATTAACGGGGGATTTTAACTTCCCTGATATCTGCTGGAAGACTATTACAGCGAAACATAATATGTCCTGCAAATTCTTAGCATGTGTAGGGGACAACTTTCTGATTCAGAAAGTTGAAGAAACAACTAGGGGGTCATCCATTTTGGACCCGGTGTTGACCAACAGGGATGAATTAGTTGTGAACATGAAGGTGGCCGGGAACTTGGAGGGAAGTGATCATGATCTGATAGAATTCAAGATCCTAAGAAAGGAGGACATGAGAACAGCCAAACAAGAACACTGGACTTCAGAAAGATAGATTTCAACCAGCTTGGAGAAATAGTAGGCCAGGTCCCATGGAAAGACCAATTAGGAAGAAAAGGAGCCAAAGGGTGCTGGCCATTCCTAAAAGATGTAATATTAGAGGCTAAACATCAAGCTATTCTAATGCAGAAGAAAGATAAGAAGAGCCACAGGAGGCCAATGTGGCTGCACAAGCAGTTTTTTACCTATCTAAAAACCAAATGGGATCCATCCAGGAAATGGAAGGAGGGCCATGTCACCAAGGAAGTTTACATGGGAATAGTGTGAGTGTGTAAGGACAAAATCAAGAAAGCCAAGGCAAGAATGAGTTACATCTGGCACGGCATGTTAGAGACAACAAGAAAGAGTTCTACAAATGTGTCAGATGAAAAAGAAAAATCAGGGATGATGTGGGCCTGCTGCTCAATGGAGAAGGTGAGCTGGTAATGGAAGATAGTAGGCACTGAGCAGCTATGCCTTCCTTTGCTTCAGTCTTTCACAAAAAATAACATGTGACTGGATGACTAGTGAAGTTACCATAGATAATAAAGAGGAAGGGATGCAGATCAGAATAAACAAAGAACACGTCAGAGATCTTCTGACTAATTTGAATGAATTCAAGTTAGCAGGGCCGGATGCAGGGCCGGTGTAACCACTAGGCCAAAAAGCGGTGCCCCACATTTTTTTTTACACTACAGTGGAGTCACATCTTAGGCGGGGGTTAGGTTCTAAGGTCAGCGCGTAAGAGGAAAATCATGGATAGTGAAAATTACCATAAGGTACAGTACATACAGTATACACTGTATGGACTAGAACAGGGGTCCTCAACCTACGGCACATGTGCCAAAAGAGGGCACGTGAGCCAATTTTTTTTTTTTAATGGCAGGCCACCGGCCCGCTCAGCCCGCTGCTGGCCTGGGGTTCCGGCTGGGACCCCGGCTGGCAGCATGCTGAGTGGGCCAGCGGCCGGGACCCTGGCTGGCAGGAGCCGGCGGACGAAACCCCAGACCACTCAGCCCGCTGCCGGCCCCACTCAGCCCACTGCTGGCTGAGTGACCGGCAGCAGGCTCAGCAGCGGCCGGGACCCGCCCTCTGCCATTAAAAAAATCCGCTCACGTGCCACCTTTGGCACACATGCTGTAGGTTGAGGACACAGAACATTATGGGATGCAGATGAAATTATGGGATGGAGTGTGACGTTATTGATATAATCTGGGACCATATAGATCATTGTTGCAACCAAGGTCCTGTAGTGGCACCAAAATCTTGTATAAAGGGGGTCAAATGGGGTGTCTTAGACAAGGTTATGGTTTACTGGTTATGATTATGCTGTCTATATGTGTGTATCAATTTTGTAGTTGAAGTTATGAATATTGGCTCTATACTGTCTGTATTTCAAACTTATGCTATGCTGCTGGGTGACATCCCAGACAAGCTGGTGTTAGCTCTGCCTAGCCTTCTTGATGGCCCATTAAGGACCAT